TCACCCTTTCTCGTTCTCCTGGTGATCGACTGGATTATGAAGACGTTGACGTCTGGAGGGAAGCATGGTATCAACTGGACAGCTAGGACGCAGCTGGACGATCTGGAATTCGCAGATGACCTGGCTCTTCTATCTCACACGCAACAACAAATGCAAGAGAAGACGACCAGTGTAGCAGCAGCCTCTGCAGCAGTAGGTCTTAACAAACATAAAGGGAAAAGTACGATTCTACGATACAGAACAACAAAAAGTAGAGACTGTAATAAAAAACATCTTATCATCCTAATATGGAATTGAACAGATTAGCAAAACATAGAACTAAAAGAGTCAATGAGGACATATTACAAATGTATGCATGAAGGGATTATCACAACCAAAGCCTTCCAAAATGGATCTTACACCGGCCCGCAAAATCGCTCCGTACAAAGCAAAGCCATTTTGATGCCTATGATAATGGTTCACTCTCATAACATAATCTACACTAGAAGAACGAGTAGGACTTACAGCAGTACGCCCACACGAACTCATACATGGATATAACAATAAACTAGTTTGAACCTCCTAGGAGACAGACCATTCGTATATCCCTCCTAACTAATCCATTATCCGTCTGAACAGTTAATCTTCTTTCCTAGCGACCTCCCGTCAAAAGGCTGTGAAAGTATTATTAATGGGAACTGTGGTATGTGTTGGAGACAAGTTATTCACTTGGCCAATGTGTTTTGCAAAGGGTGCTTGTCAGAATGGCGATTAAATCTCCAAGTCCGTCCGCAACGTCTTGTCGACCATTTGAATTTTCAGGAAGGAAATCTTTTGATTTGACCTGAAACACTTTTTTGCGTTTAAACTCAAATCTGGTTTGTTCTTGAATCAAGGACAGCCAAAACACTGACTGATCACGACCGCAAATAAGCAGAGGACCGAAATTCCTTTCACATACCAAGCATTTATCCGCAGAGTACGAGCAATCAATGCAAATGTATTGTTCTGACAGAAGTGATAACATCAGTCATAATAGTAAACATAATAATGATAATATCAACTATGACAATGACATTAACAACAAAAATAATGACCGTAATGATAGTAGTTGTGACAAACCCCATTCGTACGGCTTCTATCACGACAGTTTCAAGGGTCTCACCTGTTAAGGATTTGTCATTTGTGAGGACAACCATCTTACGAATAGCAGTTGGAGGACTGAAATATCTTCCGGTCTCCTTTTCAAGCAAGTTAGTGTGTATATTCTCCTGTGCCCAATCCAGAAAACACTCCCTCCATTGACGTTCAACTACCACCAAACCTCATCCATTATCACCATACATATCTCTCGGATAATTACAAACCACAATAGTCCCCACAACGGTATACGGGTCAGTAGTAGAAGCATGTGTCACTTTCAGGTGAACAACTCCTAATCGTAGTCAGGTGAAGACCCAGCCACAATGTCCTCAGAACTTCTGCTCTGCTTTACCATAACATCTTGACTAAGAATATTTGAATACAAGTCATTCCAGCAGCCAGAAATTGAGAGAGTCCAGGGTTTGTAGTAAATTTTATTGTATTTTGACCTAGAAATTCCTCACAGTTTTATCCCTATTATTCTCCATATTGCAACTTACTGATCTCCGGTCTGGTACAGTGCCAGCGTCTGGTATCCAGAAACCGTAATGCCCTGAAACAAACTTATTCATGCAAATCATGGGACATACAAATTCACATACAACTGCCAAGTGACTAGACGCCTCTATTGAACACTGCCAAACACACTCGGAACCGTACCGAAAGAACAGGAATCAGACACAAAGAAATCAATCGGTTTATACCATCTCGTCAAGGAGATATCGGATATTGGATGTGACAGACATGGACAATGTGATTTTATGACCTTTCCGACGAATATTGGACCATTCACAGATTTCGATGAGCGATTCGGTATTATAGAAGAGATAAGTTTAAACAATTATTACAGTACTGATATGCCTTATTTGTAAGACCTGAGGTGTTTTAAAACTGCAGATTACATCAATGGTGTTTCGTTTCCTGACTCCGCCATTATTGAATTTATGAGTGAAATGACGAGAAGCGGTGATAATACAAGTTTAGGAGGAGAAGAAACCTCACTTATCAATAAGAAGGTAAAAGATGTGTTTATATAGATTTATCTTTATTCTATGAAAATATTTCGGAGTTTTGAGAAGCATTTTCTCAAAACGTCCTAATGCAGCCTCCATAAAATTTCCACCAGTGACAAAATTGTGTATGAAATCGGGATATGACATATATGCGGTAAATTTTCAGAGTAATCTCCGGCCATTTAACTTAACTTTAGACTGTGTCAGTCCCTTAAACATCCCAGACAGCTTATCTCATATTGAGTAGAAAATATGTTTGTACGCTCAGAATAATTTGAAACTGAATACATTTAGATTAGGACTTAAGCTTTGCTTTTATGAAGTAATCGGGCCCAGGCACGAGATATTATGGTCTATTCAAAATGTCCATATATGTATGTTTCTGGTCCCAACCGTAGTGGTCGGGCTTGCCTATCTTGATGACTCAACTGAGCTACATTGACTGGAACGCATGTTCCTTCAGGTCATACCATGCCAGGCAGGTCGATTGGTAAACGGTAAGACTAGGGGCAGCGACTTCAGGTCAGAAGGCGAATTCATACTGCTGACTGTGGAAGGCTATGGCAGCAGTAAGGTGTTTGCCTCGGACAAATAGTGTATGCTAAATATCTGTCTAATAAACAAAGGACAAGTTTACTGCTCAAAACTTTGCTCGATCGTACTATACGGGTGTGAAACATGGCTACTGAGATTAGAGGATATTCGTAGGTTGTTACTCGACCATAGGCGTTTTGGAAGCATTGCTGGTGTATTCTGGGATTTGTATTGACAATTGCACCTCTATGCTAGTGTGCTAAAGCAACTTGAAATGAAGCACGTACGTTCCAAGTTCTGCGTTATTTGTGTTGGATGTGTTTTTGGAATCGGACGCAGGTCCTTCTTTCTGTTCAAAATCGTTCGCAATGGCGCCGGTGCATTTATGCTTTGTGTTCTCTCAAATCCTAATCTTCTGGGTTCTTCAACAACTCTAGTTTTGACTTTCTAAACTTTTCTCATTAAATCATACTTCTTGAATAATATCTTCTAACCCTAACCTCTCCGATTACTCCTAATACCTTTACTACCTCTTCTACTTTTGGATTTGAATTGACAATTACATCTCTGTGTTGATGTGGTCTGGCGACATGGACTGATGTACTTACGTACGAAGTTCTACGTTGCATCTGACTGACTGACTTTCTGTTATACCAATCTAACTGCTTCAGCAGGTACATGTAAGTTTATATACGCAGCTGGCAGTAACATGAAATAGATACCTATCGATCTTTGAATGGAATAGAGAACATATATTTTAGATTGGATAATCAACTTTTTTGTAGGATACGTTCTGATCTCTGTGGTTCTTAATCCCCTGTTTATTGTCGATGCGACATCATCACCTATGAATTCATGTTGAGTGGAAACAGTTTCTTTGTTTGCTGTGGTTTCCTTAGGCGTTTTGCCTTTACTTTTCCCACATTTTTAGTAAACTTTTTTGGATATCCATTGTTACTTTGGAATTTTCCAATGCTTATTAGTTTTGATTTTAGTATATTGGTAGTAAATATATTTTCCGTTGTATGAAATACTGGTTTGGTAAGTGGGATTTCGTAACTTGTCGTACTAAAGTTGTTGGAATTCAGTTCGTGTTAATAATTTTCAAAAGTTTCGAAGACAATTCACGTATAGAATTGTTGAAATTTCCATATAAACCACTGATTTGACTCTTTTAAATATTTAGTCAGATATTGGTCAACATTTTTTACGTGCTGCACGTGCTGGAAATATTCAAAAGCTTCTAATACTAATCAATGATCATAATGCAGATGTGCATGCCTGTAACGCTGTAAGTTCAAACTGATAATGAATTACAAACATGTGTGTTGAATACTGCATTTATAATTATTTTATTCATCAGTACGCTGCCTTTAACTTAGAATTTAGTTAAATCATTGGAGCAAAGTAAAATTTTCATTGACCAAAAGATTATTCTTGATCTAACTGTGCTAGGTGGTTGAAGGTAGTCTACGGGAAACACTAAACTGAGGTGTTTTGTTAGTCAGTACTTGTAAGCAAGAAGTTTCTGCGATCCCTAAGGGCCAATCGAATTCATATATTTTATCATTAATAAATCCTGTGGGAATGTGAATATAGGGATCTTTATTAATGCATTCAAAGCCTCTAAAACCAACTTCTATAATGGTGGGTAATGTTCGTAGATTACTAGTAGTTAATCAAAGTTTCCTCAAGTTATGGTAAAACAACTGAATAAGTACTCATGACATTATACCTATGTTATTAATTAGAAACGACAATTTAGTTGATGAGTACGGTAGTCGAAATGTACATTTCCCATGCCTCAATGCCCCGACCGTAGCTGCTACCTTGACGTGGTGGTCGGGCTTGCCTCTCGTAATGATCCAACCAAGCTATATTGGCTGGAACATGTGTTCCTGAAGATTCTACCATTGCGGGCAGGTCGATTGGAGAACGATGAGACTAAAACCAGCTACACACACAAGGTCTGAGGGCGAAGTTGTACTGCTGACTGTAGAGGGGTGTGACAGCAGTAAGGTGTTTTCCTCGGACAACCAGCATCTGCAGTGATGCTGCCTTCTCACAAGGAAGGAAGGGTTAGAAAATGTCGACCCTAAAAATGTCACACCTCACCTGACCTCACGGATTTCCATCTCCGGTGGTAAGGGTGCCCACTAAGGGCTTTTAAGAGCGGAGCTAATACTCTAAAAGCCTTTCATAAAAAGGCCGTGCGTGACCGGCCTCGAGCAGTTGTCCCTTGGGCTCTGCGGTCATGCTCCCTGGTCTCTAAGACCGACACTAATCTACCTTCTTTTTCAGGTTCATCAAGAAACAACCTTCCAGGGTGTGGGCAGCCGGGAAGTGACAACCGCCCTCATGCATGTGACATGCCTCAACGCACACTGCTAGCCAGAATTTGAGTATGTTTAAATACAGCTAAGGTATGGTGAAACGAGACGTAACATGGGTGCGTGAAGTTACTGATTCTTCATGTGGGCCGTGTCAAAAGGCACAGATTTACTGATATAAGGTCCAAACGATAATCATAATCAGTGGTTGGAGAGACCTTTTATGACAGCCCGAAATGTGAATCCGAAAATTAGCATATCCAATTATTGAAGAGGTATTTAGCTACGAGCCATTCTCTAAGTGTAAAAGCTGACGATGCTATCCCGTTGCTCGAACCGCAGTCAGTGGATCGGAACTTGAACCCGTAACGTAGTGGCTGAACATCCAACTTAACCGTTAGGTCAGTATACAGATGTATTTGTTATCTATCTTCTTTTAGGTCTTGAGTCTTAATATTATTGTATAATTTTTTTATCCTTCAGTCCCTTCTTTTCGAAGCACGCCCCTCACCATCAGTTTCTTTGGCTATCACAGACATAATTATTAGTCCTTTTTTTCGCAACACTTGATTTTCCCACAGTTTAGCAATATGGTGTAGAAAATTCAGGCTTTATATATATATATATATATATATATATATATATATATATATGCATGTCGAATTTCACATCGTTTATAACTAAACCAGCTAATTTATTCTTGTCAATGAAAGTAATACTGAGTATTTAATTTTTCTAGACTGGTTATTATTTGTCCTGCAATTTGTTTTATCTGTAATGTGATTATTTATTATTGATTATCAGTAGCTAACATATGTATGCATATTATTGACCTTTAGTAAATAATCACCTTTATATTAAGATTTCGAATCTACAGTGGACAGCTGTTTGATCCTGCTGTCAGACTTCTTAGCATTAACCGCTTACTACTCCACACAGGCCCCTGACTCAAGACCTTCAAACCAATGTGTAATGGCTCCTATTTCTGACTTCTGTGGATTTGCAAAACTACTGAACTAACTTGGATAGATTTACAGTCCTAATAATATTCAATGACCCATAAACCGATAATTATATAGAACTTCTGAAAGGTATGATAAAGTTAAGATTGCAATTTGTGGATGTAGTCCTATTCGTATCATGTAAACAAATCCTTATTGCACATTTTAAGTATACAGCTGAGGTAATTTTATTTCTACAATCAGCCTAATAGTCTTATCGTTTCAATAGTTTTCCGTTTGAGTTTGTATGTCCTTGCTAGGTTTGAGCTAGTCACCGGGATTTCATAGAATGTTTGTACTGATTAATACGAATTAGTGCAGTGTATCTATATCATGACACCAGCCTAGCTACCCTTCTTTGATAAAATTTGACAGCGCTCATTTTTTTATTGTTTCAATATTTCATTTGAGAATAACGATTAATCAAATAATTTATTATTTCTAAAGTTCGTGGTCGATCTTAATCAAGGAGGAACTTTGATTTCCATTTAGGTCAGCTGATATACCATTGAAAACTAAACTCTGACATCCTTTCGTCTCCCATATACTTCAAATAGTTGATTTGTAATTTTTATTTTAGACAAAGGGATCTTTTTTCAGCGAATTCGCTGTTATTCTGTATATATGTGGGTAAATATAATTTTCAGTAGTAATAGTTTTAAAATCGAACTCAATATATCCGACCTGTATATCTCTTTTAATCAGTGTTAAGCATGGTTTCAGCTCAGAATAATGAAATAGTAACTTCCTAATGTGTAAGTTTTTATTGATTTATATTTTCCTCTATACTTTATTCTGTCTAAAAGTAAAAGGAAGTTGTGAATTTTGATTTATCAGCTTTTTATTATTACTTGTAAATTATGAAGTAACCGAGTTTAGCTTGTAGAAAAAGCAATCAATCTGTCAATAAGGAATCTGCTTACATGTCCGAACAAACAGATAAACAAAACGATGATCTCAAATTACCATCATGTAAGCAACATAAAAAAGTGAAATTTCTCAGGGACATAAAAGACGACAAGAAAATGGTACTAATGCTGAAATGCATTTATACACCCGCTTGTTATTGTTTCCATCTATTGAACGTTTAATTGTTTTATTCTGTTTCCTATTGCTATTTATATGTCCTCTGGTTACACTTCTAATCAACATTACATGTTTACTTATGTCTCATATTTCTTGAAGCACTCGTATTTGGAAAGTAAACTGATGAGTATTTAAAATTTGATGTGTATGATTGTAAGATTATAGGTTAGTATTTTTCTAGACATCATCCATTGGTTTCACCACTGATTCGCATAACACAATTAGAATCGCTCTTCAGAGGGATGCTTTTCATGTTGCTGAATTCCGCAGATCGTTTAATAATTGCTGTTCCGGATATGATTGGCAATTACTTGGTATTGAAGCGCTGATGTTGTCCAGAACAGTAATGAAAGCTTCTTAACAAAACCATCTAACTCAGAGAACTTGATAGCATCAAGAACTTGAATCATTTATGCTTTGTTTTATGTATAAGATTAACAAAGCTTCACACTGTGATAAAATAAGGAACTTGAATCATGTTTTTCAAATCCTGTATTGACTGATGTTTCTCTTAACAGTACATTAATTGAATCTGACTAAATAATTTGCCCTATTAATGATATTTACTTTTATTATACATAATTATTTTCGTTTTTTTTGCTGCTTAGAATGGTTTGAATGCTCTCCATTTGGCTTCAAAAGAAGGCCATGCAGACGTTGTACGTGTATTAATTGAACGGGGCGCAAGACCGAATACTGCCACAAAAAAGGGAAATACAGCTTTACATATTGCAAGTTTAGCTGGTCAATTTGAAGTAGTCAAATTGTTATTAGAAGCTGGAGCTGAAGTGAATGTTCAGGCTCAGGTTAGTTTATAACACCATCTTGTTGTTGCTATTGCTGTGCAAACGATTAGTGTCATTTTACGGTTCACACCATGGATTGACAGCTAGTCAGTTTTTAAGAACCTAAATTGGTATTCAATGATTCCTTGATTACAGGAACAACTAGAAAAACAGTTAGACCGCCATATAGTAAGTGATGTCCACCCTGAGGCAGCTTGGAATGATATCAAAAAAGCTGTGGAAACAGCAGTGATATGTGCTAGTAAGGCAAATCATAAGACTGAGAAGAAGCCATGGATCTCAGTAGCATCTACGGAACTGATGGATGCTCGAAAGCTCACCCCGCCTGGCTCTGAGTGCGATGAGGAGCGAAGTCAACTTAGGCGTAGGCTGATAAAAAGCTTACGCAATGATCACGAACAGTGGTGGGTAGCGAAAGTGAGAGAGATGGAAAAGGCAGCGGCGATAGGCAACAGTAGGCAACTATTTAGACTCATCAAGGAGACCGGTATTAAGAATCCGACTGGAAATGAAATAATCTCGGCAATGGATGGTCTTATTTTTCATTCTCAACACAGGAGATTGGATCGATGGGCAGTACACTTTAGGGATCAGTTCAACTGGCCTTCAGCCACACTTCGGTTGCCCACGATCTCCAGTCAACCTGAATGATAAGTCGACGTGAGCCCGCCGAATGTTTATGAAGTTGAGAAAGTTATAGCAAATCTAAAGCGAGAGAGAGAAGCGGGTCCTGATAGACTGACCCCTGAGATTTTTAAGGATGGTGGTCCAGTTTTAGCAGGTGGTGTTACAGTTTTCGAAGTTAGATTGACTGAGATCATAGGTAGAATTTTAGAATTAGGCGTAATCCCATCCAACTGATCTGAATCCCTTATTGTCCCAATTTATAAGAAAGGACAAAAGTCCTCTTGTGACAATCACAGAGGAACCAGTATAATTAATATGGTGTCTAAATTGTTAGCCTTGATAATATTTACACACCTAGATAGAGCTCGTGAAGAGCAGACTAGAGAAAACCAGGCTGGTTTCAGATCTGGACGTGGCTGTATAGACCACATTCTCACACTACGACAGGTCCTGGAACACACACACACATTTAGGCGTCCCACAATAGTTGTCTTCTTGGACCTTAAGGCGGCATTCGACTCTGTGGATCTTGAGGTTCTGTGGCAGTGTCTGTCATTGAAAGATGTACCAGAGAAGTACATTAACCTTATACAAGCTCTGTACTCGAACACTACAGGTCGAGTGAGAGCTTATGGCAAACTGTCATCGAAATTGGCTACTTCAAGTGGTGTCCGTCAGCGATGCCGACTTTCTCCGTTCTTGTTTAATTTTGTCACAGACCTGCTTCTAGATATAACATTATCTTCGTCCACATTTTCAGTCGTGGACATTCTACCAGGTGATTCGTTGGTTGACTTAGAATATGCAGATGACATAGTTCTACTTGATGAAGACACTGACAAAATGCAGAGTCTTCTGACTACCCTAAGCAACAATGCAAGATTGGGTTGCATCTGTACTTAAACTAGTGATAGCGAGTGAAATAGTCGAGCGTGTAGACCGCCTCACTTATCTACGGAGTCTCATCAGTGCTGATGGCCTGGTGTGTGACGAAATCTCGGCATGGATACAGAAGGCTGGGCTGGCTTTTGCCGACCTGCGTCACTTATGGCGTAGACGAGATATCCGTTTACTGACTAAAGGACGAGTGTTTTGCGCAGTAGTTAGCTCCGTCCTACTCTATATGGCTGTGAAACATGGCCAGTCAGAGTAGAAGATATTCGTAGGTTGCTTGTTTCCGACCATAGGTGTCTTCGAAGCATTGCTCGTATATCGTGTGATACCAGAGTGAGCAACGCTGTTATTAAGAAACGGGTACTAGGTAAGAATGGCTGGTCAATAGATAAAGTATTGAAACTCCACTAGTTGAGGTGGTTGGGACATGTGTTACCTATGACTAACCACCGACTGCCTCATCGAGCTATATCTTTCGGTGTAGGAAAAGGTGGTTCGAAAGCTAGGAGCGGTCAAACCAGAACCTGGAAAAAATGCATGAAGCCAATGACAAGTGGACTGAGTCATGTTTGTAGATGTAGGCTACCTGGTTTTGGTCCGCGAGACGATAATAATCGATCGATAGAGACCCTGAATGAAATGGCTCAAACCCCTGCAGTGTGAAAGGCGCAATTACATCATTTTTTCTCTCTAGGAAATTTATTTTGAGATGATTTTGTGGAAACTTGTAGGTTTCAAATTCATTTTTCATTCCGAAACAGTTTCCACAGGAGGTCGATCTATAAGCAAAGAAGACTTGATACCGGTGTCTTTATATGAATATTATATCATTCGGGACTACCCCCTACAAATCAACGTGAAAGTGATTTCATGACATTCGAGGTCCACGATACGATTGAGTCAATTTGTCAAATTCTAATGATGTATATTACTGACTTGACGATTTTTTAATACATTAACCACTCAATATCATTGGTTGACTCAGTGAATCAGTCAGTTGCAATGTAGAACTTCGTACGTAATTACATCAGTTCAGGTTGTCATACCGCATTTGCAGAGACACCCTTGTCAGTTCATATCCCATAGTTGTGGAGACAGAAGAAGAATTAGCTGTAGTTGGGAATATTAGGGATCGAAGATTTTATTCGAGAAGTATAGTTCAGTGAGATAACCTTCGAAAGATAAATATAGGTGATGAGGGGATGTTAGCGGGTGTAGGAAGGATTTGATTGTGACCAATTTGATCTCGTATGCTGGTACAGGTGTGAGGACGGTTGTCACATCCCGGCTGCCCACTCCGTGGAAGGGTTTTTCTTGAGGAACCCGAAAAGTAAGTGTTAGGGGGGCTTAGATGGAATAAAGCATAACTGCATTGGCTGCGCGCTGATTGGCTAATCTCCCATCCAATCAGTGCCTGGCCCATACCATAAGGACACTAACGATGTATCTATTTTGCCTTCGTCTTCGACTTCTTATTTCCATTTAACCTTGCTATTTGGAATATAATCTTTTCCTGTTCCACCGTGTTTTGTTTCTTTGGAACTTGTCCAGTGTATTGTGGTCAGAGAATACTAAGCAATAGGATTTAGCTGGGAATTATTCAAGCGAGCGTTACAATAGTGAGGTAGATTAGTGTTGGTCTTAGAGACCTGGGAGCGAGACGCACCACCCAAGGGTCGACTGCTTGAGGCCGATCATGCACGGCCTTTTGATGGGGAGCTTTCAAGTTGTTAGCTTCGTTCTTTTTAAAAGGCCTTGCCATCGAAGACGGCAATCCGTGTGGTAAGGTGATGCGTGCCACTTTTTTGGTCGACATTTTCTAACCCCTCCCTTCCTTGTGAGAAAGCAGCATCGCTGCAGATGCTGGTTGTGCGAGGGAAACACCTTACTGCTGTCACAACCCTCTGCAGTCAGCAGTACAACTTCGCCCTCAGACCTTGAGTAGCTTCTTTTAGTCTCACCGTTCTCCAATTGACCTGCCTGGTGTGGTAGAACTTTCAGGAACATATGTTGCAGCCAATATAGCTCGGTTGGATCATTACGAAAGGCAAGCCCGACCA